TGCCCAGAGCATGCCTCTGGAAGCAGCATCCGCAAAGGACACAGGTTTGCAGGCAGACAGCCCTGGGTCTGCCCCCTTCTCTGTCACCTACCAGTCATGTCAGCCGGGCAGGCATCTGAGCCTCTTATCTCACCTGACAGCGCTCACTTGCGGAGCTGCCCGAAGGGCTAAAGGGTGTTGCTGGTGTCTCAGGCCACTTGCTGGTGTTTGCTGAGGGTATTCCAGAAGCAGGGGCTGGGGTGCAGGAGTCCCGTGCGGCAACAGTGATGCCCTGGTGACCTCTGGGCAGTAAGCACAGAGTGGGACTTGTCTGACGGCCTGGCAGCCACCCGTGGTGGACTGGTGCCTGAGTTAGCGTCTGTGCCCCTCTGTGTGCCCGGGGAGCTGCTCTAGAACAGCGTCCTCATTGATGTTTCTGCCATGTCCTCACGGTAGTGGTGCAGGGCTGCCCGTGATCTTTCACTCCGTACAGCCAGGGTCTCTTTCCGGACAGTGAGGACGTCTCTCTGGCCCCAGGTGGTTGGAGTGGGGGGAGGAGAAGTTGCGGGGAGAAGGGAAATTTCCCTTGGCCTGGACTTCCCCTTCATGTTCTAGAACTTCCCCGCAGGGCTGGGGTGTGAAGCTTGAGTCTCAGTCTGTAGTTTTCCATCAGCACCCCACTCAGCGTCTCTCGGGCCCCTTTCAGCACTTCCCCCAGGCTCCCCGGACAGAATCCTCACCCCGTGTCCCCTGCCCAGCGGGGATGGAGTGACTGTGCTGCTTGCTGCGAGGCCCGGCCGCTGTCCCCTGTCCCCGCAGCGTGTCAACCATACAGCAGAGGGGTCCCCAAAGTCCCTGTGATTGATTACCTGGCTGCAGCTCCTCAGAACAAACGGCCCGCCTCTCCGGGAAGCGGGAGCGCAAGGGAAGAAAGCCAGGCTGGGCAGAGGGTGAATTTCCCAGCTCAGGCATTCATTCAGAAATGTTTCTCAGTGCCAAGTGTGTCGGGCATCTCTGAGAGGACCTGGAGATACACGTGTCACCTCCCCTTCCTGTCAAAGAGAAGGGCTGCCAGGCTTCACCTGGCTGCCCTGTGTCTCCCACCCTCCCTGACTCAAGCCCACCAAACCCTTCAGCTTCCAGCCCCCGCTGGGCATTTAGAACAATCTGTAAACTCCCATCTTTGCAAAAGGTGAGGATCCCTAAGCTACCTGGAAAGCCTGCCTAAGGCTGGGCTGTCTCCGTGCTGGGGAAGGTGGGGAGTGAAGATGGACTAGTGAATGCGGTATCTTACTGCAGTGAAAACCGTTGCACCGCCGCAGTCATCTTCTACCCCGCGCCTGCTTGCAGAGGGCCTGAGGTGGGGCCTGGTCCCTGAGCGCCTAACTCAGGCTGGATGCTTTACATGAACCCCATTTTGTCTTCACGAGATACATGAAATGTAGAAATTATTAGCCCATTTTTCAGATGAGAAAGCTGAGGCAAAGAGAAGCTAATGGAGGTGTCCCTAGTAAATGAGGGAGCTAGGATCTGAAGCTGGGCTCCAAAAATCTGTGCCTGTTCCTCTGCAGCAATGTTGCCTAGACCAGGAATATCCAGACAGCAGGGATCACACATCATAATTCTGTGTTTCTCCCTCAAGCATTTGATATAGTGCTGGATCGGAGTAGGCACGTGGATGGATGGATGAATTTGTGGGTAGATGGATGGGTGGATGGGTGGATGGACGGATGGCTGGATAGATGGATGGACAGATGGATGGATGAATGGATGGGTGGGTGGGTGGACGGCTGGGTGGGTGGATGGACGGCTGGGTGGGTGGACAGACGGCTGGGTGGGTGGACGGACAGCTGGGTGGGTGGGTGGACAGATGGATGGATGGATGGATGGATGGCTGGGTGGATGCACGGATGGGTGGGTGGACGGATGGGTGGGTGGATGGACGGATGGGTGGGTGGGTGGATGGATGGCTGGCTGGGTGGACGGATAGGTGGGTGAACAGACGGATGGGTGGGTGGGTGGACGGATGGGTGGGTGGATGGATTGCTGGGTGGGTGGGTGGACAGATGGATGGATAGGTGGGAGAGAAGGGATGGAGGGAGGGAGGGATGGATGGATGCAACTCGAGGGAAATACTGATCTCGGTCTTCCCTCTCCAGAAAGGTTATTGCTCTCTCAGAACCAGGGGGTAGATTAGGGCCTGGAGGACTCAGGTCTTGCTTTTCTTAGACAAAACTGCTGGTGCTAAGCAGGACCCTCAGGCCATGGATGTAAGGTTATTTTACCTCTGCCTCTCCCTTGCCTCCTAGCAAAAATGCTTAGGTAATAAATGTGTAGCCTTCTTCCTGGGGTCCCTTGCAACCTGCTACATGGGGCTGGGGAAGTAGGGGGGGGGCAGCAAAGATGTCTCTGAGCTCTTTCTGGGCTTTTCTGTTTCACTGACAACTCAATGCAGGGGTGGGGGTGGAGTCATGGGAAATAGGATGGATTTGCCTGAAATATGTCCCCAAGGCAGCTACCCCTACCCTCTGCACTGGACTCTAACACTACAATGAGGTAAATATTATTATTCTCGTTTTATAGAGGGGAAAATTAAGGATCGGAGCCATGAACTTGCCCAAGGTCACATCGCTAGTAAGACCCATGCCAGGCCTGCCAGCCTGGCAGACTGTGGTGTGTCCAGGTCTGTGCACATTCATTTGCGGAGAGTGAGGGGCTGCATGTGTGCACAGGTGTGGGTCCTAGACCTGTTGTATGTGTGAGCACAGTCTGAGGGCCCACGAATCCTGGGGACTCAGGGTCCCCTTGGCAGCTCCCCGATCTCAGGGTGGCCAGCCCTAACTCTCTGGGAACTACTTCCTCTCCCCTCTCCTCTCAGCTTGCCCTGAGGCTCTCTGCACACCTCACAGAAACCTTGATACAGAGGCGTTGATCTGCCCATTTTACAGATGAGCAAATTGAGGGTGAATAGAGTCGGACACAACTGAAGCGACTTAGCAGCAGCAGCAGAAGCTAAATGATGTGTTCTAAGGTCTCCTTCTCCGACAGGTGGGGTCTCTAGACAAAGGGCTCTTCCTCCTCTGGGAACCACAGGATCTGAATCTCCCAATCAGGGCTCAAGCAGAGGGGACAGAAAGTGGCCCCACCCCAGCCATCCCTTTGAGAGGCTGAAGTCACCTCCAGGTATGGCCATTCCCTTTCCCTGACCTGAGCCCTGACTTCTAGGACAGCTCCCCCTGATCCATCCCCCACTGGTCTAATGACCTCAGGGATGGGCTTGCATGCCTGTGACCCCATCCAGCCCCACCACAAACCTGTGTGTGGGTGAGGCGCCCAGTATCATCTGTCTGCAAAAAATGAAGACCTGAATTCCACCAAGAAACACAGCAGGTGTGAGGCAGGAGAGGATCAGAACCCACATCTCCAGATCTTGGTGCCAGTGGGTTATTTTCCAATTCCATCCACCATCAGCAAAGCTCCCAAAGAGGGGTTAGATCACTGTGACTGAAGTGCTTGCCTCCCTCCCTGGGTCTTCCCAGATCCCTGTCCTGGGATCCTCAGGGTCCCTCCCACACCCACTTATTTGTTCTCAGAGACTTTGCTTGTCTTTCATAGCAGTTGTCATCCTTTGTCCTTAAAGAGATGCCCATTTTTGCTCCTCACGTGTCCTGAGCACAGCACCCAGTAGTTTGTGTCCTGGAAATGTTCTCAGCTGGGCGAAGACTCCAAGTGTGTATCTGGAGACCCACAAGTTCCTCTAGCAAACTTATTTCTCCCATCTTAGGACTGGGTTGCGCCTGGCACACTGGGGTGGGGGTGGAGGCGGCAGCTACTGTCCAGGAATGAACTGCCGTCACTGATTTTAATAAACCCTCCCAACAATAACAAAGAATAAAACCCGAGGACTTCAGTGCATTTTCCCACTAGTAGGCTCACTAAAAAGCTAAGAAAATCATCCAGGAACTCGCTCTGCCTCACCACCCCCCACCTACCCCACCCCCACCCCCACCCCCGCTCCTCTCTGGACGCATCTGCGCGCTCGGGCCAGGCAGCCGGCAGAGGGCTCCTAACCGCCCGCCTGGAGGCCGCGTCCTGGGTACCAAGTCCGCATCCATCCTCCTGGGAGCGGAAATGCGCGGGGGCCCCGAGGAGGTGGCGCCCTCTGCTGGCCGAGTTGGGTAGTGGCCTGCTCCGCCGGGGCTTCGCGGATTGTCTGTCTAGAGCCTGTCGCACGATGCCCAGCGCGGAGTGCAGTTTGGGCAGGCCAGGCCAGGAGAAGACTCGACGGGGGAAATCGGACGGAAAGAAGCCCAGCCACTCTCATCCTCCTTCCTCTAATGAGAACTCCTTCTTCTCCCTTCCATCTCCTTTCTCATTCCAGAGTGAAGGAGGGGGGAAGGGACCTGAGAGAGGGGACAGATGGGGAGAGGGGATGGATGGGGATAGGGGACGGATGGGGGTGTAAACAGAGGGGAGACAACCCCGCTGGCCAAGGGCCTGGGGACAGAGGACCTTGCCTGGACCCCATCCCCATCTCCCACAGCAGCCCCTCTGCTCCTGGTCCACAAGGAGAGACCCCACTCAATGTTAAAAGGAGAGACAGTGGATGGGGTGGGTGAGGAGGTGGGCAGGGCAGAAAGGGCAGGGGGCAGAAACCAGGCAGACCTGCTAGCAGCTGGTGGGAAGAACGTGGATTTAATGGAATGAAGGGAAGCCAAACAGGGCTCTCGCCCCTCCCCCCAGCACCCCCCAGACTCCCCAAGCCCCTCTCAAAGGGGTTGCACTTGATCCTGGCCCTTCTCACCTGTCCAGCCACCCCTGGAGCAGGGAAGTTGGCACCCAGCTCAAAATTGGGTTCTAAAATGTCCCCTATTATCTTGTCTAGTCTCTGCCTGCCCCCTACCCCCCACCCCTTCCCGAGCCAGGCGGGAGCCTGGAGAAGCACAGAGGGGCTGCTTCTTTGTGTTCCTTCTGTAATTGCGCCTGCAGCCAGGCTCACCGGACCACCCAGGGCCTGGCCCCTAGCGGTGAGGCTCCAGCTCGGTCAGGATGAGAAGTGATGTCCTGGGTGTGGCCCGGGCAGAGGGTCCTGCTCGGTGCCCCTGGGGAAGGTCCTCGGCTGGGCAGAGGAGCTGGCGAACTCTCTGTGAGCAGAGTGGGGGCTGTCGTGAGCGGGAGGGGTGGGCAGCACCCTCCTCACTGCTGTGTGCATGCCTCCTCCTACACAGACGCCCTCCCGGTAACCACAGCAGCGTCTCCGTAGCCTCCTGTCTCTTTCTGAGACTGTTGGGCACTCCGTCTGTCCCTCCCCGACCCCCACGACAGGACCCCTGGCTCTCCTGTGAACCACCCTCTACCTAGGCAGGCGGCCACCTGTCAGCAAGGACGAGCCACCAGCTCATCCTCTGACTCTTTCCTCCCCTCCATCTCCCTACCTCTCTGAAAGAGCCCTTGAGGGTGCTGAGCTTGTAGCAGCTCCAGGCAGGAATGCAGACCATGGAGGAGAGGGCCAGGAGCCAGCCCAGGGCATCGCCCCACCACGGGTACTTGTACTTCTTGTTGTAGGTCAGCGGGGTGTACTTGATCAGGGAGAAGAGGAAGGTGGCCTGAGGGTGAGAGTAGGAGAGATGGAGCTGGGGGAGCAGGGGTCCTCCGACCCAGCTGGGCCAGTCTACCTCCAGCATCCATCCACAGACTGCTCAAAATCCACACCCCCGGGGAGGTATTTCCAAGGTGCCTACTCTGTCTCTGCAGGGTTCCCGTGCCCCTGGGCATCTCTACACATGGTTGGCCCTCAGTTGGGACTTGGTGCCCAGCTGTGAGCACATGGAGCGCAAGGGTGGAGCCTCCAACCCCTGGCCTGTCATCAGCATAGTGGGCATTCAGGGGCGCTGCTGACCCAGGGAAAGCCGGAGCAGCAGTGCTTGGGAGCTCAGGCCCAGACTCCAAGCCAGGCTGCCTGGGCTTGAGTCCCAGCTCTCAGCCACCTTCCAGCTCCAGTGAAATGCTTAACCTCCAGGGCTTCAGTTTCACCTGAGAAGCGAATACAGCGGTAATTCTTAACTTCGTGGGGTTCTTGTGAGGACTGATTAAATGTGTGATGCACTCTGTGCCCAGCAGGAAGTTAAGTGTTCTAGAACTGCTATTGTCATCGCTGGACTTTATCAGTGAGTATCACCTCAACAGCCCAAGGCACCTGCCACTTTAGACTCACATTGTGGAGTAGATCGAGCCGGCTGCCCTGGCCCTCAGTTTATCCTTCTGTGAAATGGAAAGGAAGAAGCTATCTGGGTAGCATTTTGCAGAACCCAACAGGAGGATGAATGAAACCTCTAAATGATTTTCAGTCCCCACGGAGAAGTCCCTTCTAGGGTAAGGGCTCGTCTACCCTCCTGGGCCACCGTGTCTCTCCCTTCATCTGGCTTCTCCTCTGGAGCTTGTCTTACTGTGCACACAGCCGGCGTGAGGAAGAGCCAACAGTATTTGATGAGAGGCCACGGCCTGTACCCAATCATGTCCTCGATGTTGTCATAGAAGCGCCCAGCTCCTGCCATGAAGGAGAGGAGGGAGGGGGAGAAAGGACCATCTATCATCCGAAGCATCAGACAGGGACCACAGCCACCAGGAAAGGCAAGGACCGGTCAGAAACAGATGTGGTGGTTGTCTTCTCTGATGGCCCCTGGGAGCTGACTCTTGCCTGGGATTCACAGACATAAGCAGCAGTGGGCAGAACTTGGCTTGGGCCAAGGCACGGCCTTTCTGATGATCGAGGTTGTTAAAGGCTGAAAAGCTCTGGGTAAGACATGATATGGGCCCCCAGGGTGGGCTGGGGGCAGCCATCATTAGGAGGGTGCACAAGACCACCTCTTGGGGGCCATGTCGGATTCTTGAGATTTTTTTTTTTTTTGAGATTGGGCCAGGGAAAGATCATTGTGAGCAGTGGTATCTCCTTTGTCTGAGAGCCCTGGGCAGAGGCGAGTGCCAGGGTCAGGACCAGGGGGAGTCACTCACCGTAGGCCCACGCCACGCAGAAGGACTCGAAGATGGCCACAAACAGCAGGCACATGCCACTGGCCGCATAGTAGTCAAAGAGCTGGAACACGTACATGCCGCCCTGCCCGGGGAGGGGGAGAGACAGAACCTCACCTGGGGAGACAGGCACCCTCGGGGCATGGAGTGGAGGCGGGGAGGATCCCAGGAGACAGAGATGAAAAGAGAGCCTGGTTGGTAAGCTGTGAAGCTCTAGGCAGACACATGATGAGGATGGGGCTTCTTACTGTTTTTGGAAAGAGAGCTGAAACAGCCATTGTTAGCTCAGCCCTGAGAACAGGCAGGGGGTGACGCAGAGTCCACGACTGTGTGCGTTTTTGGCAGAAGGTCAGGATAAGGGGCCGTCCTGGGTACCATCAAGCTACAAGCTCCATCTCCTGCCTTCTCCCCTGAGACATCACCCGGAATGTCACCCACCCCAGGGCTCCCTTTCTGCCTTTGAAGTCTGTCCCTGGAACTTGGGTCAGCTGCCTGGGAACTCATGGGGTCTTGCTGGATGCAGTTTTTTCCAGTCCAACTGCACTGGACACTTTTGATTTTCCCATCTAGGTTTTCCATACTTCTCAGCATCTGGGGAGCCAAAGCATCCCTCAGCCATGACCAGAGCTAAGATGTGCAGTGCTTCCCGGGCTAGGAAAGGACCAGACCTCAGGCCCTGAAGCCTGGACGGCAGAGAGCTGGTATCACAGCAGCCCACTCCCTCTCCCCGTCCTTCCTGCCCACACTCCACCCCCCTGCACCTGCTTCCCCTGCCGGGAGGACAGTGACCCCCCCCTTGGCTTCTCCGCCTCCCCAGGACCCACCTGCAAGCCCCCACACCCTCACCTCTGTGAGCATGACCAGCCCGACGAGGAAGGAGGTGACAGACACCCCCAGAATGAGGACCTCCCTGCGGTTCTTCTTGCGGAACACACGGGGGTACATGTCCACCAGCGCCGTCACCAGGCTTTCCACGCACACGAACTGGATGAGAAGGCGAGGAGTTGGAGGGCAAGGGCCCCCCACAAGTAGCTCCATCAACCAGCTCTGGCTCATCGCTCCCAGGGGCAGCCCTGCCTGCCTCCTGACAGTCCAGAGCGGCCCCTGCATGGTTGGGGTTGGATCCACCCTCCAGAGCTCCCCCTGGTCCCTGAAAAGGCATCGCTGCCTGACACGCGCCCAGCCCCCAGCTGTTTTAAGGGCCTTCAGAGCATCAGGTTCAATGTTGGGGAACAAGCCCGCTGCTCCCCGCCCCCAGCCCCCGCACACCACTGTCTCTCAGGCTCTGAGTGGCCATCTCTCTTGATACCTGGCTGTCCAGTCCCAGGAGGACGACCATGAAGAAGAAGCAGCAGGCCCAGAGGGGTGAGAAGGGCAACATCACCACTGCCCGGGGGTAGGCGATGAAGGCCAGGCCGGGGCCTGGAGGGAGAGAGGGACACGCCGGTGCCACCTCTGGGCGTCCCGGTGTGGGACACAGGACAGTGGGAGCCCTGAAGTTAGCCACCCCCACCACCGTCCTGGCCCAGGAGAAGACACCCAGGCCCTGACCTGACCCCTGCTCTTCAAGGTCCCGCTTGCTGTTTTCTCGGGGCAGGAGGAGAATGTAAAAGCTGTGTGTATTTTAAAGGGTTTTAGAAAATAGGAAGGGGTCTGTTTCACCCACATTTCTATAATTTCTACCCCCAAATCCTCAGAACTCTTCAGATCTATTACCCCAAACCAGAGGTTTCATACTTAAAAAGAGCTCACAGATGTTTGTGGATCTGGTTGTCCCAGTGTTAAAGGGGGAGCGGGGGAGGTGAAGGATGTGGAGCTTTTGTGTGACCATAAGACAATTGCTGGAGAGTGGTTTCTGTAAGTTTCCAAAGAAAATACCTTCATGACTAGACTGGGTCTGGAGCACGGCTGGCCACCTCTGCAGTGGGGGCCTTTTCTCTTGCCCGACAGCAAGCGAGCTGAAATTGGGTGTCATGATACCACCCTCCCCCCACCATCCTCTCAAACACTTCATGTTGCCCCGGCTGGCTCAGATGTCAAGAACAGGGTCACATGCCAGCGCCCGGTCATCCATAGGGAGCTGCCTTTGAAAGGAAGGGCATGTCTATGGCCATACCACTCTGAACACGCCCGATCTCGTCTAAAAGGAAGGGCAAGACCATGGGCTGGGACGATGGTCAGCTCCTAGCCTGCTTCCCGTGCTGCTGGGGCCTGCCCCACCACTCTCCATCACGAGTCACCGCAAACGCTCAGCACCTCGCCCGGCACAGGGCAGCGCTTTGTAACAGAGAAACGCAATCGTTCTTAGTAAGAGACCATGATGTCAGTTATCTGGTGCCCGGCACCTTGTGTGACGGGGGAGCTTGTGAACCCCATGATCAAAATAGTCTTGTTACAGGTGCAAGCAGGTGGTCCACAGGCCTAGAGGGTGTACAAGGCAAACGCTGGCCACTTACCCAGATAGGGGACCATCTGTGATTTTATTTAAAGGCGACAGCAGTGCTGCGTGGGGGAGGCAGGTCAAGCACTTAAAGGAGGAAAGCCATGTGCCGGTAATTAACTTACCTCTGAGACACATTTAAAGGCAACAAGACAGGGTAGGATGCAGGACAGTGTATACCACACCTTAGCAACTGGTTGTTACAAGATGTAACAAGCAGAAACAGTAATATGTATGTGTGTGTGAATGTGTGTGTATAGACGTATGTGTATCCTTTTTCTGATAAAAGCTTAAACCATTTCTGGAAGGAAAAACATGAACCTGATAACACTGGTTGCCTCCAGGGTGGGCCACTGGAGGCCAGTGTGGGAAGGAAAATGTTCTCTGCACACCTGTTCGCCCTTTGAAGCTGGAATTGCTGCTTAAGTCCACCCCATGTCTTCCCAGGATGCAGCCACTGAAAGGCCACCCAGAGTGTAGGGGACAGTAGGAACGCCTGTGAATCCCAGTGAGCTGGTGAAAGTTCAGACAAAGCTCACAGAGGCCCCTGTCTTGGGCCCCCCACTCCCCAAAACACCACCCACCTGACTCAGCCACCTCAGAGATGGGCACCCCCTGCTCTTGGGACATGAAGCCCAGGATGGAGAAGATGGCAAACCCGGCCACGAAGCTGGTGCCGCTGTTGAGGAAGCAGAGCGCGATGCTGTCCCTGCAGGCAAGGGCGGGGCGGGGAACAGACGATCAGCGGGGCTCCCAGCGCCTCTGGGCGGGACCAGGGCCTCAAGGGCCACCGCCTGCCCAACAGGGGCAGAGGACACCCTAGGGGCTGGTCCTGAGCCCCGACTCCATGGGCTCAGACTTGGACTGACCCACGGTCATCCTCGAAGAGTGAGGCCCCAAGGCAGTAACAGGGTCTGAACCTCACCCACAGACACACGGCCTCCCTCTCCCACCATGCCGTCACCGTGCCTCCTGAGACACCACCCTCGTGACTCAGCCCAGCCCACACGTTAACGGAGGGTAGAGGGGCACGCAGGCTACAGGTGTTCCTCACTCACCTAAGTTTCAATTTTGAAATGCACGATGTGATTTTATTTAGGTAATATTAAAACTGTCTTAAATTCTCTGACATAACTCAGATGGGCCCGTGGGAACCACCATGGGGAGGGGACAGAGCAGGCAGGACCAGGCTGCTCTATGTGACGTCACTCCCGGGCAGGTCTGCTTGCACACCTGTGCCCACTGCCTTCTACGTGAGCCTGGGGCTGGGTTTCCCAGCCAACCTCAATTATCTCGTTCCCCCGGGAAGCAATCGCTCGCCCGTGCTGCCCCCGGCTCCTGTCTCCACCTGGCCACTCTGGGGGATTGATTGGAGAGTGGGGTGATGGCAGGTGGGGTGCAGGGATCTCCCCTGCACCCCAACATACCTGGACGGTCAGGCGCTCAGGCCCCGCGCCCACTGACCTGTAGCAGTTGTTGTGGTACTTGTTGTAGCTGCCCAAGGCTGTCAGGCACCCTAGGCAGATGGCGAAGGAGAAGAAGATCTGGGTACCCGCATCCATCCACACCTACACAGAGAAAAGGCAAGAAAGCTGCCCCTCCGCGGTGCCCACAGGTGCACGGCTGAGCCAGGCTGGGGATGCCTAGCCCTGCCCTCGGCCCGGGCAGAGAGCCCCGAGACCATGCTGTCCCAATGGGCTTGACTTCCTGGGCCCCTAGATGGGGTGTCTTGGGCACCACCAGGATGGCACGGGCATCAGGACTAAAGGACCCACGATGGAGGCCAGCAGGCAGGTGCTGTACAACCAAGTGAGGCCTGGGGACTTCCCTGGTGTCCAATGGTTAAGACTCCCTGCTCGCAATGCAGGGGGGTGGCCCTGGGTTCAATTCCTGCTCAGGGAGCTAGATCCCACATGCCGCAAAAAAAAAAAAGAATCTTCATGTTGAAACTAAGACCCGGGGCAGTCATATACAAAACAAAAAACAAACAAGCAGAAGAAAAAGTGAGGCCAGGCCCCGTGCTGCTGTAATGGACACAAAGTCTGGGGCTCAGCCCCCACTTTCTCCCACCCCAGACCCCGGGTGATGTGCCCAGTTTGGAAGGAACCCAGGGACAGTCTGGGGATGTGGGTCCTCAGTGTCAGAGTGTGTGCCCCACGTGCCTCAAAACCCTCGGAAAACAGAGGAGGGATCCTCTGCTCACAAAACATCCAGAGAATGAAGAGACCTCATCTCTACGGGGCTGTGCGCTCCTGGGAGCAGACGGCGCTTGCCGAACACAGGGCGCGGCCGTCCCTCTTATTATCTCAGCTGCCGGTCTGGCCTGTGTGCGCTGTGACTTAGATTTCACAGCTAGAATAACATCCCAAAGAGAAAGAAGATCAAGGCGAATGGGGCTCGGCAAGGCTGCAGATCCACAGGAGGTGGGGGTCCTGGGGCCACAGACCCTTCCCAGGCACCTCCTGCCTTCAGAGGACATGAGCACCGAGTTGTGGCCATGGGCATCGCCAGGCTGGTGGCGGGGTCCCCACTTTGGGTCTCACCCTCCACAGCAGCCCCCAAAGAGGTCCCTGCTGTCCTTCCACTAAAATCAGGCTCCCTGTGCCCACGGGCACCAAAGCCTCAGCTGCTCATGTCCACAGCTCCTCAGCCCCTGCCCACCCCTCCCGCCTCCCTAATCACTGCGACCACCCTCAACCTCCCTTGCTCCTGCTCTCACCACTCACTCCCCCTCTTTCCTTGGTGCTCTAGCGGGTCCGAGGGACCCTATGCCAGCTGACTGCCTCTGAACATGGATTCCTCAACCAGCATCCCAGCTGAGACCCTGAACTAGGCCTAGAGCAGAACCCAGAATTCTGTGTGGTTTCAGAGCCTCCTGGGGAACCCCAGTGAACAGCCAGAAGTGGGGATCCCGCCCCTCCAGCCCTTGAGAAATGGAGTCCACCCCGGCGCTCTCGCCTCTTGCTCTCTTTCCACTTCTGTGGGGGTGGGGACAGCCGGGAAAGAGGGTGAAGAGAGGGGGGCCGTCCCTGACTGTCTGTGCCTCCTGCCCACCAGGACTCCCAGGGCATTTGGGAGGCAGGGGTCCTCGGCAAGAAGCACAGAGGAAGACCCCCAAGGGGGCAGGGCCAGAAAGGAGCTAGCGGGCAAGGTTGACCACCCCAGGGAAACTTTCTTAAACCTCAGGGGAAATGCTGATGGGGAAAGGGGAGGGGGACCTCAGGATTTATTTCAGAAGCTGGACAAGGAAAGGAGAGAAGCCGAGCGCAGCATAGCGGGGTACCACAAGACTCTGTGGATGCCCCAGGTGGAGGACACATCTCAGGAAGCCCGGTGCCTCCTTTGGGGCATCTCAAACCCTTTCTTCTTCTAAAACTGCCCCAGAGACTGTGAGGAGCATCCTCCCAAGAAGACCCAGTGGTCTCTGGTCTGAATGTCACTCGTCCGTTCCATTCATTATTGTAGCCTCAAGGGCAGGTCGGTGAGGCAAGAGTCTCTGAGCTCAAAAAGAAAGGACAAGGGGAGACTTCCCTAGTGGTCCGGTGATTAAGAATCCACCTGGCAATGTGGGGGGATATGGGTTCAATTCCTGGTTGGGGAAATAAAATCTCACATGCTGTGGAGCAACTAAGCTTGTGGGCCACAACTGGAGTCCGTGTGCTGCAAAGAAGGAGCCCGGGTGATGCAGTAGAAACCCCACGTGCTCCAATAAAACCTGCTGTGTGTGCTCCGTCGCTCAGTAGTGTCCAACTCTTTGCGACCCCATGGACTGTAGCCCACCAGGCTCCTCTGTCCATGGGATTTGCCAGGCAAGAATACTGGAGTGGGTTGCCATTTCCTCCTCCAGGAACTAAGACCTGATGAAGCCAAAATAAAATAAATAAATAAAAAGAAAGAATCAGGGAGGTCTCTCCAGGCAGGTTATCCAGGACCTGCCCCAGCCTCAGGCCCTGGAGGTCCACTCCCATACCTGGCGGGGCCCACGGTCCACATGGGAAACTCTCTGTTTCCTTGGAGACATTCCCATGGTTGCCCATGGGCAAATCCCGTTGTTAGGAAGTATTTCGAACTGGGGCTTGGGAAGAAGAAATAAAGGAAAACTGTGACTTGGCTATTCACCTCGCCCTCGGGGAACACACTCAGATCAAGCTGGGAGGAGAGGTTGATGAGCACAGAGGAAAAGGAAGCAAGAGGGCTGAGGGTTCAGAGTGCAGGGGTCAACACCGCAATTGTGACCCAGGCCCCTGGCGAGTGAGTTGGCTTGCAGCTACTCTGGACTGGCCTGCTGGGGTCGGGGAGCCGCAGGCTGGGGGTGGAGTGGGGAAGGGCCGGAGGACAGCAGAGCAAGCCATTCTGTTCCCACCACAGCCCAGTTGCCACCTGCCTGGTGCAGGAGCCCTTGTTTCCAGAACAAAACTCCAGGTGCTTGGCTGGAGCAGAAGACTGCCCGACAAAACAGGTGTGAAAAAAACTTGGCCAAGTGTGGGTTAAAAAGAGGTCTTGGAGTGGGGGACAGAGGAAGAGAGAAATTTCTAGAAGATCTAGGAAAGATGTTTTTTAACCTGGAGTCCAACTCCAAGAACTATTATATTTACTATTTTCAGGAAGGCAATTATGTAACAGAAAAAGCCTGGGCTTTGGAGTCAAATTGGGTTCATTTCCTAACTCTGTTCATTAATAGCTGTGTGATCTTAGGCAGATCACTTCACCTCTCTGAACCTCACTTGCCTCATCATGAAAATGGTAATAACAAGTGAAATAGAAAGGGGTATATTAACAGAAAAAATGTGTAAAATAACAAATAAAAATAAAATAGTGCATGTCAAATGCCTACTACATAAAAAAATACTAGTTCCCTATCCCACCTCAGGGCTTCCTTGGTAGCTCAGCTGGTAAAGAATTTGCTTGCCATGCAGGAGACCCTGGTTCGATCCTGGGTCAGGAAGTTCCCTGGAGAAGGGATGGGCTACCCACTCCAGTATTCCTGGGCTTCCCTGGTGGCTCAGATGGTAAAGAATCCACCTGCAATGCAAGAGACCTGGGTTCGATCCCTGGGTTCAAAAGATTCCCCTGGAGCAGGGCATGGCAACCCACTCCGGTACTCTTGCCTAGAGAATCCCCATGGACAGAGGAGCCTGGCGGGTCACAAAGAGTCGGACACGACTGAGTGGCTAAGCGCAGCACAGCACAGCGGGCTGTTTGCTGTTGCTCTCATTTTATTTTATTTTATTTTATTTTGAATTTTTAAGATTTCCTTTCCAGTGGATTGTGGGGTCGTCATATAAACATATGTCATTTGCTTTTAGTAATTCAATATATCGGCCATTTTCTTTTTGAATCTCTTCCAGTTGTTTACGTAGCTTTTTAATTTCTTCAGCTTGTTCATTGTTTCCTCCATTAAGCAGGAGTTCATCATTCTGCCTTTTCAATTCTGTTATGTACTTAAAGGCTTGGTCCAGGATCATATTCTTGCTCGGTTTCAGTGCAGGAGAGCATGAAATCAGCTCTCCTATTCTGTTTATCCCAGCATTGATTTTCTTCTTTCTATGCCTCTCCACTGCATTGTGTGTCTCCCGATTTTTCTTTCTGTGCTGCTTTTTTGTAGGAGTCTCTTTCTCTGTCATTTCTGGCATTGTTACAGTGATAGGAACCCGCTGGCTGCGTGGTCTCGGCCGCGGTGGCGGCAGCAGTGGCGACCCCAGCCTGGGTCATGATCCCAAGCGGGTTCCGCAGGGGTGTCCGACTGCCCGGGCCAGTCTCTCCGTCTACGGCCGCCTCCTGCTTCTCTGGGGCTGGGGGAGCACGGGCCCAGGCCCTCCTCTCCCCCCGCCCCTGCCGCCTCTTCTAGCGGCCACCTCCGCCACTGCGAGCCCGAGCCCTCAAGGCCGGAGACCCCTGTTGCTGTCATTTTAAAGAAGCAACTCGCCTTCCAGTGACAATGAGGTTCCCTAGGTCTCAATGTGCGACATCAAAATAAAAAGCCTCATTCTAATTAATGGCTCCAACCTCCCCCCAAAATAAACCCTCCTGAGAAGAGCTTAACACAGAGATTAAAGATGTCCAACAAGGGTTCTCTGGACACCTTGTCCCCAACCCCTGTCCTTACCAATCTACCAAAGTGCAATGGACAGGGTGGGTGAGGGAAAGAAACGGAGTCTGAAGCCAGCACACGCTCCAGCGGAGCCCCCGTGGCTGCTCCCCAGTGGGATGGAGTCGGCACTGGGGAGCCCAGGAGAGGCGGCAGCCCACCCACCGCACAGCAGCCTGGCAGGCAGATAAACCCAGCCGCGACTCTGCCTGGCTTCAGCTCCCAGACTGAGAGCTTGACGGACAGAGGCGCTCTGATCTTTGTGCTGCAGGAATTTTGCACCTTTCTCAAGTGCCAGCCAAATGCAGGTTGGAACTGTCACAATTCCTGGGGAATGCCAACTGGATTTGATTGGGACTCTGGTCGGGACATCCCGCCCCACAGGAGGCCAGGACCAGCAGCTAACATGCCTGCTTGCAAGCTCAGGACCAAGCCTGGCTCTGGAAACATCTCCCTCCCATGGCCTCGGAGGACTCTGAGGGCGTCGGCTCCCTGCACAGCCTGCAGCTGCCTGGGGTTGGAAGGACAGTGTCCTGGAGAGGAGACTGAAAGAACCCTTCATCCCTGCAGTAGCCAGACACAGAATTACAGCCTTTTAACTCTCAGAGCTTCATGCCCTCTGGTCCTCCTTCTTCACAGTTGCCGGCAGCTGTTATATGTGCTGCTGGAGAAGACTCTCAAGAGTCCCTTGGACAGCAAGGAGATAGAACCAGTCAATCCTAAAGGAAATCAGTCCTGAATACTCATTGGAAGGACTGATGCTGAAGCTGAAACTCCAATACTGTGGCCACCTGATGTGAAGAACCGACTCATTGGAAAAGACCCTAATGCTGGGAAAGAGTGAAGGCAGGAGGAGAAGGGATGACGCAGGATGAGATGGCTGGATGGCATCACTGACTCAACAGATATGAGTTTTAGCAAACTCCGGGAGATGTTGAAGGACAGGGGAGCCTGGCGTGCTGCAGTCTATGGGGTCGCAATGAGTGGGACACGACTGAGCAACTGAATAACAATAACAACAACTAACAAAGGTGGGGATACTTCACCGGCTAGCGGTGAGGATGAGCTGAAATAGTACACATGAACCTCTTAACGATGCCAGGGCTGTGGCAGGCGCTCAGCAGTTGTCAGCTATGCACAGCTGGTCAGCACGAACAGGGCATCGATTACAGAAGCCACAGGTCAGTTCCAGTGATTCTGGACCCTGTCTCCCTTTCTTCTTTCATTCCACCTGCCCGTCTCCCTGTCTTTTACCCCTCCTTCTTCCTGCCTGACCCCCAAGCAAAGATATCTTGTGGCTCAGCCACTGGTCCACGCCGTGCTCCAGAACCACAGCAACTCCTCCTGCATGAAGGATCCACGCCAGACCCACACCTGGCTCCTCTCTCCCCAGGCCTTGCCCGCTCTGCTGCTCCACCGCCTCCAGCTTGCTGCCTGGTCCCACCACAGGGTCCCCTGTGTGTCTCGGCCTGCTGTTACCTCCGTGTGAGCCTGGGCCCCGTCTGCTCATCTGTGCTGGAAGGAGTTTGCACAGATGACGTCTGGGGTTTTCTAGCTTCGGCAGGTGCCGTTCTACAGTTTGGCTCCATGGCCCGGCTGCACCCTCGGGCCCAGGTGGAGATGAGGCAGCTGCGTCTGTCTCTATCTGTCTCAGAAACGGGGTCAGGAGGGCATGCTCACATCCCACCACAGGTCATGAAGGAATCCCAGGCTGAGGCTGGGGCAACGTCTGGGCCCAAGTGGTCTGGCTGCTTCTGGGAGCCACAGCAACCCCAGGACTCAGGATAGAAGAGCTTGTAGTCCATCCGGGGGGCGGAATGGCAGGCTGGAGAACAGTCACCCCAACCTCTGCACAAGGAGCAAGGGGAGCCACTTCCTCCGTGGGGACGTCCCTGCCTCAAAGGGAGCTGGGGAAGGGGCCGTTCCCTCCCCTCCTGCACCCCTTGCCCCTCAGCAAGACAATGCCGCTGCCTTTACTATTAAAATGTTTGAAAAGCTGTCCAGTTGCTGGTCTGCCCTGAGCTGGGCAACACTTTCAGGGACATGGTCCCTCCCCACCAAGCCAAGGAGGCTCCCGGGAGGTGACCTCTGCCATGGGGATGGGGGCAGGGGGTACCCGGGTATGTAGGGCTCTGGGCTTCCCTCACCTATGGCCTCTTCCACCTCCACACCTCCTGGCTTTGCATACATATGCATCATAAGTCGCTCAGTCCTGTCTGACTCTGTGACCCCATGGACTGTAGCCTGCCATGCTTCTATGTCCATGGGACTCTCCAGGCAAGAATGCTGGAGCGGGTTGCAGTACCCTCCTTCAGGGGATCTATCTTCCCAACCCGGGGATTTAACCCTAGTCTCCTGCATTGACAGGCCGGTTGTTTACCACTAGCGCCACCTGGGAGGCCCTTTAAAAAGGGCGGGGGGTGGGGGGGGGGACCAGGAGGCGAGAAGCTGGCAGAGGCTTCTCACAGCAGGCATTGCTGTCCAAACCCTCGGTCAGCAAGCACCGGCTCCTGGAGGGTGGACCTGAAGGAAGGGCCAGGAGGGATAGGGAGGCCGGGTGCAGCCCTCTGGACAGCAGGCAGGAAACTCAACACCAGGCAGCTGGCTCCAGGGGCTGGGGACATGGCCAGGGGTGGGCCTTGTAGGCAGAGAGGGGGAAGCAGAAGACTGACGGAGAGTCAGGGCAGGGAGGCTGCCCACTGTGAAAGGAGGTGCCAAGCAAGGGTGGGAGGTGGGGCAGCGGAGAGCCTGGAGAAGGGCTTTTAGGACCTTCAGCCGCCGAGGGACACCCCCTGGGCTCCCTGGCAGCTGTCAAACTAGCAGGGGAGCACAAACAGCTGCCCGCAGATGTGGAAATATCCCCCCCGCCACGGACGCCGGAGATGGAACAGAGATGCCCATACAGAACACAGGGGCAGCCCTCATCACAGGTGGTTTCTTACCTGGGGGTCCCAGAGACGCGTGAGGTTTGGGTACAGGTAGAACTGAATTCCTTGGGCTGCCCCGGGCAGCGTCACCCCTCGAATCAACAGGACCACCAGCATGAGGTAAGGGAAGGTGGCCGTGAAGTACACCACCTGGGCCAAGGCGATGGAAAGACACGGAAGCCGTGAGGGGGGGCGGGAGGAGCTGGAGGAGCTGCAACCCCACAGGAGAGGTCACGGAGCCCTCTTGCTCCCTCCTCCTGCTCACCCCTCAGCCCGCAGCTGTTCAGTCCTGTCTGCCCTCTGCCTCCAGCTACAACCTCCCGCCTCCCTCCCTCCGGCTCCCCCGACACAACTCCCAGCAAATATTTGTGGAGTGACTGAATGAACTTAGGCATGCCCCTGATAGGGGGCTTAGAACTGTGGCCAGGGTCGTTGGGGACGACAGCTCTGTCACACGTGACCCCTGTCCTCGCTGAGCTTACGAGCTTAACATGACTGCGCGGCCCGATTAGGAGAGCAGCCTGGTCAGAGGCCTCGGGGGCCAGGGTCCAGGAGAACTCGAGCTGCCCTGTATGACACGCTCCAGGGCAGGGCGTCTCCCTTGGGCCTCGGGTGCTGAGAACTGTGTCGAGACGAACAGTCCCAGAGCACTGATGTATGAAACAGGGTGCGTGCACTGTGTTCAGAGTGCGATGCGCCCACACATGCGGTGTGTTCCGAGACCCTGCTTCCCGCCCCGGCTCTGTCTCCCCTCCCCCTCTCCGTCTCCCCTCCCGCCTCTGTCTCCCCCTCCCTCCCTCCGTCTCCCCCTCCCTCCGTCTCCCCCTCCCCCCCTCTGTCTCCCCTCCCCCTCTCCGTCTCCCCCTCCCCCTCTCCGTCTCCCCTCCCCCTCTCTGTCTCCCCCTCCCTCTCTGTCTCCCCTCCCCCTCTCTGTCTCTCCCTCCCCCTCTCCCCCTCCCCCTCTCTCTCCCCCTCCCCCTCTGTCTCCCCCTCCCCCTCTCCGTCTCCCCCTCCCCCTCTCTCTCTCCCCCTCCCCCTCTCCGTCTCCCCCTCCCCCTCTCCGTCTCCCCCTCCCCCTCTCCGTCTCCCCCTCCCCCTCTCCGTCTCCCCCTCCCCCTCTCCGTCTCCCCCTCCCTCTCTCTGTCTCCCCTCCCCCTCTCCGTCTCCCCCTCCCCCTCTCCGTCTCCCCTCCCCCTCTCTGTCTCCCCTCCCCCTCTCCGTCTCCCCCTCCCCCTCTCCGTCTCCCCCTCCCCCTCTCCGTCTCCCCTCCCCCTCTCCGTCTCCCCCTCCCCCTCTCCGTCTCCCCCTCTCCGTCTCCCCTCCCCCTCTCCGTCTCCCCCTCCCTCTCTCTGTCTCCCCTCCCCCTCTCCGTCTCCCCCTCCCCCTCTCCGTCTCCCCTCCCCCTCTCTGTCTCCCCTCCCCCTCTCCGTCTCCCCCTCCCCCTCTCCGTCTCCCCTCCCCCTCTCTGTCTCCCCTCCCCCTCTCCGTCTCCCCCTCCCCCTCTCCGTCTCCCCTCCCCCTCTCCGTCTCCCCCTCCCCCTCTCCGTCTCCCCCTCTCCGTCTCCCCTCCCCCTCTCCGTCTCCCCCTCCCCCTCTCCGTCTCCCCTCCCCCTCTCCGTCTCCCCCTCTCCGTCTCCCCTCCCCCTCTCCGTCTCCCCCTCCCTCTCTCTGTCTCCCCTCCCCCTCTCCGTCTCCCCCTCCCCCTCTCCGTCTCCCCTCCCCCTCTCTGTCTCCCCTCCCCCTCTCCGTCTCCCCCTCCCCCTCTCCGTCTCCCCCTCCCCCTCTCCGTCTCCCCTCCCCCTCTCCGTCTCCCCTCCCCCTCTCCGTCTCCCCCTCCCTCTCTCTGTCTCCCCCTCCCCCTCTCCGTCTCCCCTCCCCCTCTCCGTCTCCCCCTCCCCCTCTCCGTCTCCCCCTCTCCGTCTCCCCTCCCCCTCTCCGTCTCCCCCTCCCCCTCTCTGTCTCCCCTCCCCCTCTCCGTCTCCCCCTCCCCCTCTCCGTCTCCCCTCCCCCTCTCTGTCTCCCCTCCCCCTCTCCGTCTCCCCCTCCCTCTCTCTGTCTCCCCCTCCCCCTCTCCGTCTCCCCTCCCCCTCTCCGTCTCCCCCTCCCCCTCTCCGTCTCCCCCTCTCCGTCTCCCCCTCCCTCTCTCTGTCTCCCCTCCCCCTCTCTGTCTCCCCTCCCCCTCTCCGTCTCCCCTCCCCCTCTCTGTCTCCCCCTCCCTCTCTCTCTCTCCCCCTCCCCCTCTCTGTCTCCCCCTCCCCCTCTGTCTCCCCCTCCCCCCTCTGTCTCTCCCTCCCCCTCTCCCCCTCCCCCTCTCTCTCCCCCTCCCCCTCTGTCTCCCCCTCCCCCCTCTGTCTCCCCCTCCCTCCCAGTCTTTCTTCCGTTTCACTTCCCCAAATAGAAGAACATGTGACTGAGCCCAGGAGAGGCACAAAATCAAGCAAGCGAGCGCCAAGCAATCTGTGTGGGGTCATTCCCTCCCATCCCTGACTAGGAACAACTTGAATCAACGGGTGGCTGAGGTCGCTGGCGAGGGCAGGGGGTCCCCGGAGGGGAGGGGCCCGGGGCTGTCTGACACAGACCTTGCCCGTGGACTTGACGCCCTTCCAGATGCAGAAGTAGCAGACGACCCAGGCGAGCAGGAGGCACAGGGCCAGCTCCCAGCGCAGGGCCCCCAGGTGCTGGATGCCCTCCGAGATCTTCAGGACCCGCCTCCTGGGGAGAGAGGGGTGAATTGCTGGCCTCACCTCCCTGGGCAGCGGAGCCGGGCCTCTCGCTCTGATCTGAAGAAGGCTCACCGGCTCCTTCACTCTGATCCGTGAGGCTCTCCTTTGCCCAGAGATGGGGATAGACAGACAGGAAGGCAAAGGCAAACTGTCCCCAGGTAAGTTTATTCTGCCAGGCCGAGTACAACTGAACCCAGAGAAGGGGATGCAAACATTCTCTCAGCCGGACTGTGATGATGGCTTTGATGTTAGGAATCACTTCTTAGGTGAATGTCAGTATTTGGCGGGGGAGGAGCAGTAAAGGTAACTGACAAGCAGCTGGGGAGGAGGGTGGACACTCATGGGGTGGCCCCAGGGGAGGGGAGGCAGGCCCAGCCCGAGGACAGTCCAGCATTAACCACAGATACAGACACAAGGGAAAAGCCACTTGGATGGTGGGGCCACCAAAGGGGGAAGCAGAAATTTGTCCCTTGCCGTCTGTGGAGTCACCACCGTATGAACCCACCCCCATGCCCTGGACACACTGTCCACACTGGATGAAGGGAGGAAAGGCCTCACTTACTCCCAGAACTCGATGACGGGAGAGGTGGCATTCTCAGCGGTCGCATTCAGAGAGCCATTGGTCCTCTGGAACTCCACGCAGCGCTCTGTGGGCAGCCAGGGGTCGGGGGAGCAAGAGAAAGATCACTGGCCAGTGTGACCAGAGAGTGGGGGGAGCTTTAGGAGACTGGGAAGGCAGTTGTCTGGGCTGAAGTTATCTAAACAAAACAGTCTCACAATGAGACACGAAAGACATCATAACCTCATCAAACCCATGGCACCCTTTCCCACATCTCCGTGGCAGAGGGTGTAGGGGGTGGGATGGGGGGGCGGGTCACGGCTGCATGTTCTAATTAAAGCAAGACCAGGCGGCATCAGCAAAGATGCTTTGCACACTGCTTCAAATAGACAAATATTTCTGGGCTGCCATCCTGGATGGACTCACGACCTTTGAGGATCAGGACACCATCTGGGGAAGTGGTGCCGTCGTGGCTAAGAGCAGAGACACAGGTCAGGAGGCTTGAATCCCACTCCCCACTCCCCCCCACCCACCCCAGGTTATTCACTGAGAGGCTCTCTAAGCCTCAGTCCTGTTGGCTCTAAATGCACATGAGAAGAGTCTGTGCAGGGCCGATAAGGGGATTAAATGAAGATGAGGCTCCAGGGCGCTCCATAAATAGTGGCTCTCAATTACCCCTCTATGCCTTCAGACTTTTCACAAAGTGTTCACACCCTTCTTTGCGTTTCATCAGGACAGCAATCCTGCTAAATACTAAGATAGAGAGCATTTTTCCCACTGCACGCCCGAGAAAGTGAATCTTCTCAGAGATGACTTGTCATCACCCATCTGTGAGGAAGTGAGGGCTGGGGTCCTGCTCAGCAAAATGTGTTAAGTTCCACCTGCAGAGGATCTGGGAGCTGGGGACTGCCCTGGGGGTCCAGTGGTTCAGAATCCACCTTCCAATGCAGGGGACTCGGGTTTGATCCCTGGGTGGGGAACTGGTCCCTGGTCAGGCTTCCCTGGTAGCTCAGTTGCTAAAGAATCCACCTGCAATGCAGGAGAGCCCAGTTTGATTCCTGGGTCAGGAAGATTCCCTGGAGAAGGGATAGGCTACCCACTCCAGTATTCTTAGGTTTCCCTGGTGGCTCAGCTGGTAAAGAATCTGCATGCAATGCAGGAGACCTGGATTCCAACCCTGGGTTGGGAAGATTCCCCTGAAGGAGGGCATGGCCACTTACTCAGGTATTCTTGCCTAGAGAATCCCCATGGAAAGAGGAGTCTGACAGGCTACAGTCCGTGGGATCACAACGAGTTGGACACCACTGAGCCATGAGGCACCGCACAGGGAACTAAGATCCCACATGCCTAGGAGCAACTGAGCCTGTGGGCCACGACTAGAGAGCCCATGAGCAGCAAAGAAGACCCAGCAGCCAAAAATTTAAAAAAAGGGCGGGGGAGGGACGGAGACGGGGGTGGGGGGAGGGGGAAACAAAGAGAGGAGAAGGAAAAACACAATAAAGAAAATATCAGAAGAGAACAGATTTTTTAAAACCTGATTCACTCCACAAATATGTTTTGAGAGCTCAGGATACAGTACAGAGCGCTAAGCACAAACCTGCCTTCAATGCAGGAGACCTGGCTTCGATCCCTGGGTTGGGGAGATTCCCCTGGAGAAGGGAAAGGCTACCCACTCCAGTATTCTGGCCTGGAGAATTCCATGGACTGTATAGTCCATGGGGTCGCAAAGAGTCGGACACGATTGAGCGACTTTCAGTTTCACTTCACTAAGCACAAACCAGACCAAGAAACAGAGAAAAAGCCGGGCGAATGCCAGGGGCCGGGGCTGGGACAGGCTCTAGCAGACAGCTTGAACAGAACCTAGTGGATCAGTGACCCTCAGGGAGGGACATCCAGGACTGGACTTTTCACCTGAAAAGTAGTGGCACGGAGGTGGTGGCAGAGAGGAACAAAGGAAGGAAGGCCTGGAGAGACAGCACAGTTTGGAGGCGAGGGGGCACCTAGTGGCTGCCGGGCCAGAGAGTACCAAGGACACTCATCACCCCAGACAGTTCTTCTGGACAGCACTCCCCTAGGTAACTTTTAATTTTATCTTTAATTTAATGTTTACTTTCTATTCATCAGACTCAGTAGTTCTATGGCCTTATGGGCTCCTGTCTTAAAATGGAACCACAAGAGACGATTACTTGCTATTGTAAATGATAGAGATACTGTATAAAATGGCATATTCCCCTGTTCAGTCCAGATGAACTGGGAGTTGAAAAGAGCATCAGAAAGAAGACATGAAAAACAAATAAATGAAATACTATATACATATGTTGTATATATGTATTGTATGCAGTATATATGTATTGTATACAATATATACATATATATATGTATTATATGCAATATGTACATATATCAAACTAACCATGTCTCAGATCACATAAAGGGCTAAACTGCACAAAATGAAGTCAGTTCTGTCTTCATAATACTTGCATTGATAATGTGTTTGATGGAACCCATGAATTTTTTACAAAGTCTGTAGGGCTTTTCTGGTGGCTCAGTGGATTGTGGGTTTGATCCCTGAGTCGGGATGATCCTGCGTGCCAAAGAACAACTAAGCCTGTGTGTCACGACTCCAGAACCTGTGCTCCAGAGACCGGGAGCCGAAACTACTGTTCCCACGCGCTGCAGCCACTGAAGCATGTGCCTAGAGCCCGTGCTCCCCAACAAGAGAAGCCGCCACAATGAGAAACCCAGGCACCAGGACCAGAGCGTAGCCCCCGCTTCCCACAAAGAGAGAAAAACACGTGCAGCAGCAAAGACCCAGCACAAGCAAAAAATAAGTAAGTAAAATTGCTTTCTGAAAAAAGGTCTGTGACATTTTCCCTGTGATGCTGGTCGATTCTCGCTCTTATCTTTGGTGTAAGACCTCCTTGATGTCCTTGGAAGACTTCTAGAGCATCCCAAGTGAGGGGTGGGGGCCTGGGTCCCAGGGTACAGGGCCGGTCCCTCTCCCCGGTCACCATGGCCAAGCAGGAGGGGGTGACCTCACCCGTGTTCCAGTCGTGGCGGCAGTTCCCCCAGGGCAGGTCGACAGTAAAGCTGCTGAAGAGGTAGAAGAGGGCCCAGGCCAGGACGATGATGTAGTAGATGTTGAGGAGGGTGACGATCATCTGGGAGGCGTAGCCGATGCCTGGTGGCGGGGGGAGGGGGCAGACCGGACTGGGGCACCAGGCAGGTGTCTCGTCCGCCACCCACCCCTGCTCGGGAGAGGGTTTGTGCTCCACTGGGAGTATCCTAAGATGTGGGGTTCGGGGCCTGGGCCTCCCGCTCTCCTCCCCACCCATGCTGCCCTGCCCTGCTTCCTGTGAACTCGCATCAGTCCTGGTGCTGAAACTTCACTGATTCCAATTGCAAGCTACTTCATACACGTGTAAGGCTAACTCCAAGATTCCAATAGCTAATGTTCCCTGGAATTCATCTGATCTATTTCTGAAACATAAAAACACGTGCTAAGAGCAGGAAGAGACAGTTCACAGAGGAGCAAGTGCACATAGTGAATGAACGTCCTCAAAATGCTCTCATGCTCCCTCATCCTGGGTGTGCAAACTGAAACGATGAGGAGGTAACATTCTGCATCCGTAACACAAGTGAACATGTCTGCAGAAGCTGTCTCTCGGTGATTTCCAAACTTGTCCACATATTAGGAGAGTTACCTGACGATATTTTTAAAATTCCAAAGCCCAGTCTAGATGCCAGACCAATTTAATCACAACCTCTGGGAGAGGGGTACAGGCCTCAGGATGTTTTGAAGGTCCTGGGGTGTTTCCAATGTGCCGACAAGTTTGGGAACTAGGGTTATAACTCAGAGCTGTTAAAGATACGGGAGAAAGTCCTTACTCAGGTTCAGTGACTGTACGTCCGCATAACACTTTCATAAGCCAGATCAAAAGACATCCACGTGGTTGTCCATTTGATTCTATGATTCTGAACTTGGGAATTTATCCCAAAGAAATAATTTCAAAAAGAAGGGGCTATCTCTACTAAGATATATGATAGCAGAGTATAACAATTTTATAAGTGATCAAAAATAAGCAAAATGCCCAGAACAGAGAACTGTTAAGTAAATTTTGATATATGCATCTGATGAAAGTTTATGCAATCCAATGATTGCTGTGTAGAAAATGAAAAATAACACTAACTAAAACAGAAACACAAATAAGTAGGAAAAATTCTTAAAAATAAAAACAAAAAAATAAAAACGAAGAAAAAACTGTATATTTCAAACTAATAGATATGTAAATTTTAATATAGAGAAAGAAATAGTGAAATAAATCTCTCCAAACTACAAACAACCCAAATGTTCTTCAATGGGTGAATGGTTAAATAAATCATAGTACATTCATCCATGCCATGGAATACAGCTCAGTAATAAAAAGGAATGAACCACTGATACCAAGAGCTTCCCAGGTGGCACTAGTGGTAAAGAACCCACCTGCCAATGCAGGAGATGTAAGAGACTTGGGTTTGATCCCTGGGTCGGGAAGAGCCCCTGGAGGAGGGCATGGCAACCCACTCCAGTATTCTCGCCTGGAGAATCCCATGGACAGAGGAGCCCGGCAGGCTAGTCCATGGGGGTCACAGAGTCGGAAACAACTGAAGTGACTTAATGCACACACATGCGCGCGCGCACACACACACACGCGCGCGCACACACACACACGTGTTGATACCAGAGCAATCTGGGTGTATCTCCAGGGCACGATGCTGAGTGAAACGGTGGATCTCAAAAGTCACACACTGCATGACTCCATTTATATAGTGTTCCCCAATGACAGAATCACAGAGATAGAGAACAGATCGGTGGTTGTCAGAGGTTAAGGATGAGGGCAGGGAGGGGGTAAATGCGACTATAAAGGGGCAGTGGGGTGGAGATCTTTGTAGTCACGGAACAGTGGTGGTGGTCGCACAAATCCACACAAGTGATCTCACACAAGCGAGTGCATAGAAATGGGTGAAACCTGAACAAAATCTGTGGATGGTACCAATGTCCATTCCTAGGTTTTGACATTGTTCCATAGCTACATAAAATTTTTACCATGAAGGAAAACTGGGTGATGGGTACATGTGACACTCCTGGGCTACTTTTGCAACTTTCTGTGAACACATAATTATTTCAAAATAGAAATTTAAAGAAAATCCTAAAGAGAGAGGAGTATTAAAATAAAACACCCTAAGTAACTGCTGTGTCAAGAGAGTAGAATTATTTATTTATTTATTTTGGTGGTGCCTTGAGGCTTGTGGGATCTTAGTTCCCCAACCAGGGATCGAACCCAGGCCCCCAGCAGTGGAAGTGTGGAGTCTTCTTAATCACTGGACCACCAAGAAAGTCCAAAAATAGTAGAATTATTAATGGATTTTTTTTCCATTAAAATTCTTTTTAGAGACTTCCCTGACTGTCCAGTGGTTAGGACTGTGTACTCTCACTGCCGAGGGCCTAGGCTCAATCCCTGGTTGGGGAACTAAAATGCCACAAGCAGCCTGGCACAGCCCAAAAAAAAAAAAAAATCCCCAAACTAAAAACAAATTAAAAACAAAAAAAATATCTCTTTTTAAATGCTTTCCATTGAGTAAATATCTTTTTAAAAAGCACAAAATTATTTGTATGCATTGCAAAATACACACAGGTACAGCTAAAATAGCTTTGCACTCTACTTATTAGCTAAAGCCTTTGTGCTGCCCTCAACCCCATCTTCTCCATCCTCTGCTGGGCTGAGTGACTAGTTCTCTCTTGGACCCACAAGTGGAGTTGTTCAGTTACTCAGTTGTGTCCAACTCTTTGTGACCCCATGAACAGCAGTACGCAAGGCTTCCCTGTCCTTCACTCTCTCCCTGAGCTTGCTCAAACTCATGCCCACTGAGTCACAAGTGGAAGGTTTAACATAAAGACCCAGGGGCTTATCTCCATCAGCACTGCTGCTCAACCCCCCAGTTATTCCAGTGCAGTTTATAACCTGGTGCGGAGACTCTGAAGTCAGGCACGAGCGACTCACCCTCAAAGATGGGGCAGATCTTCCTCCAGGCAGTGATGCCCCCCTGACTGGTGTACTGGCCCAGCGCCGTCTCCAGGAGGAAGACAGGAATGCCGCAGGTAAAGAGGAAGATGAGGTAGGGGATGAAGAAGGCACCTGCGGGTGGGAAACAGGCTGTGTGTTCCTTGGCAGTAGCCTCCTTGTGGTCCAAGTCCAGCTCCTCCCATTACCACTGCTGTTTCCAGTCAGAACCCAAAGCGGGGGTTGGGGGGGCCTGTGCAAAACCGGGAACACTGGTCTAGATGTCTGGAACCAAGCAGAGGTCAAGAGTCACCAAGTTACTTAGGACCTGGCCAGTCCCTTTCTTCACTCTGAAGTTTCCGTCCATACCTACCAAGGGGTACTCCCCATCAACATCAGTTATCGCCTAACTGTGGCATCAAAGGAGCTCCTGGAATCCCAGAAACCACGAGCATTCACAGAGCCCACAGTCCAGCATATGTGTCGAGGAAATGATTGCTCTAAATATCAGAGAGGGACTTTTAGCAGACTGCAGTCAGATTCCCCTTCGGTAAGCCTTTCAGTTTTCACAGTCATTGGCTGAGACAAGCCTACTGACTCCACTGGCATTTTCTCCACCCTAGGCCTCTACCTGCTGGCATTAGGGCAGGGAGTTCACAGAACAGAGTCCTAGGGAGCAGAGATGTACACAGAGGGGGGACTTACCCTGTGGTCCAGCTGTAAAGAATCAGCCTGCCAATGCAGGGGACTCTAGTTCAATCCCTCATCGGGGAACTATTATCCCTCATGCCTCGGGGACAGCTAAGCGCACCACAGCTAAAAAGCCTGAGCACTACAGTGAAGACTCAGCACAGAAAAAAAAAAAAGAAAAATATGTATAGAGAGACCCAAATATCTGCAGAGGGTCCCCTACTAGCTTGCAGCTGAGTGTTGGTCAGTACATGTGTGTGGAAACCACCCAGGGAAGGGAAAGTATCTCTCAAAAGGATTGAACCCAGTGGTGCTTATGCAGGGCTGGGGACATTCCGAACATTTAAAGAAGAAATAATCCCAGTTCTAACAAGCTCTTCCAGAAAATGTGAAAGGACTTCTTGCCAACTCATTCTACAAAGCTAGCATTACCCTGATAACAAAAGCAGGCAAAGACAAGAAAAGAAAATTATACGTCAAACTTTCATGAACATAGATGGAAAATTCTAAAAAATTTTTAGCAAATCAGATCCAACAACATGTATTAATAAAAAGGATGATACATTACATGGTGGGGTTTATCCCAGGAATAAAAAGTTAACATTCAAAAAAATTAATCTGTGTATCATATTAATAAATTTAAAGACAAAAAATCATATAATCATTTCAATAAAAGCAAGAAAAGCATTTGACAAAATCTAACAGCTATTTGTGATTTAAAAAAAAACACCTCTCAGCAAATGATGAATAGAAGAAAACCCTCAATCTGGAAAAAGGCATTTACAAAACATCTGCAGATAACATCTACAGACAATGGTGAAACACTGCTTAACTTCTGAGATCAAGAACAAGACAAGGGTCTTACTACTTCTTACCATTTCTATTCAATACTGTTTCCATCAGTATTGATTCTAGTCAAGGCAATAAGGCAAAAAAAAAAAAAACCAGGATGATAGCCTATCTAGAATACCATTTGGGGTCTGTAACAAATTCACAGAAGCAGAGTATAGACTGGTGATTACCAGGGTTTGAGGAAGGGGGAAACAGGGAGGTGTTGGTCAAAGGGTACAAAGTTTCTGTTACCAAAAATGAATATGTCCTAGAGCTCTATTATAACCGCAGTGCCTGTAGTGAACAATATCTAATTGTTTTCTTGAAATTGTGCTAAGGAGGAGGTGGGGCTGCACCAGCTTGGGGGATGCACAAAGTTCTGGAACCCCTGTCGCCAGTCACAGGTGAAGGTTCCTATATGTGTTTGATGGAACTACTCAGCTGGATTTCTGGACTTCTGCAAAGGCTCTCTCATCGTGGGTCTAACTGATCTCTGGGGGGCCATGCTGAAGGGCAGAAGCAGTCAGCACTGCAGCTTCTACTGCCAGGACCAAGCCTATATACCTACTCTTGCTCTGAGGAGATTGTTTCAACTTCTGTATACATCAGAATATGTTAGACCTATGCTATAGTACCTATTATTCTGCCAAATCTAAGTGCTTAGACAAAGCAAAAGTGCATTCCTTGAGTCACCGGTATCGGCAGAGGCAGTGAGGAAACTGAGGCACAGAGGAGTCAAGGAATTGGCTTGAGCTCATCTGAGTGACTTCTGACTTGAGCTTGCAGTGTGCTTTGAGAGATCCTCCACCAGATCACCTCAAGTTCTGGTCCCTCGGCACCACCCATTAGAGACAGTCATAGAAGATCAATCCCTGAGCCTTTGGAGTGGGAGCACTGACTCCAAGTCCCTAGACTACCAGAGAACTAACCCTGCTGCTGCTGCTAAGTCGCTTCAGTCGTGTCCAACTCTGTGCGACCCCATAGACGGCAGCCCACCAGGCTCCGCTGTCCCTGGGATTTTCCGGGCAAGAACACTGGAGTGGGTTGCCATTTCCTTCTCCAGAACTAACCCTAGGGAGTATCAAACAGTGAAAACTCACACAAAGGAAATCACTTGAATACAAGACCTGGCATCACCCAAACACCAGTAGCACCCTGTGCAGGAGCCTCATCTAAACAACACACAAAATAAAAATACAAACCAAATCATCAGCAGACAGGATGACCATCTCACTCAGCCAGGCCCATCAGAGGAAAAACAAGCAAATCAAAACTCAGCACAAATCTCACCCTTTATGAAGCTTACACAAACAACTGGACCAACCTAAGGAGGGCAGAAACTAAAAGGAAGAAAGAATTCAGCCTTGAAGCCTGGGAAAAGGAGACCTCAAACACAATGAATTTTAAAAAATAATGAAGAGGCAGAGAAATACTACACAAGTGAAGGAACCAATTAGAAACACAGAAGTCCAAATCAATGAAGAGGAAATAGGCAAACTATCTGGAAAAAAATTCAGAATAATGATAGTAAAGATGATCAAAAACCTTGAAAACAAAATGGAGAAAATGGAAGACTCAATTAACAAAGACCTAGAAGAATGAAAAAATAAACATACAGAGACAAACAACACAATTACTGAAATTAAAAATAGTCTGGAAGGAATCAATATCAGAATATCTGAAACAGAAGAATGAACCAGTGAGCTGGAAGATAAAATGGTGGAAATAACTTCTGAAGAGCAGAATAAAGTAAAAAGAATGAAAAGAACTGAGGATAGTCTCAGAAACCTCTGGGACAATATCAAATGCACCAACATTTGAGTCATAAGGGTCCCAGAAGAAGAAGAGAAAAAGAAAGGGTATGAGAAAATTTTTGAAGAGATTATAGTTGAAAATTTCCCCAACACGGAAATAACCAAGTCCAAGAGACACAGAGTCCCACACAGGATAAACCCAAGCAGGAACTCCAAGACACATACTAATCAAGCCAACAAAGACTAAACACGAAGAAGGAATATTAAAAGCAGCAAGGGAGAAGCAACAAGTAACATACAAGGGAAACCCCATACACTTAACAGCTGATCTTTCAGCAGAAACCCTGCAGGCCAGAAGGGAATGGCAGGATATGTTTAAAGCACTAAAAGGGAAAAATACACAAACAAGGTTACTTTACCTGGCAAGGATCTCATTCAAAATTGGTGGAGAAATAAAAAGGTTTCCAGACAAGCAAAAGTTAAGAGAATTCAGTACCACCAAACCAGCTTTACAGCAAATGTTAAATGGACTTATATAGTCAAGAAATACAAGAGAAGTAAAAAGATCTACAAAATCAACCCCCTAAAATTAAGAAAATGGCAATAGGAACATATATATCAATGATTACTTTAAATGTAAATGGATTAAATGCTCCAACCAAAAGACACAGACTAGCTGAATGGATACAAAACAAGACCCATATATGTGCTGTCTACAAGAAACCACTTCAGACCTAAAAACACATATAGACTGAAAGTGAGAGGATGGAAAAATACATTCCCTGCAAATGGGAAGCAAAAGAAAGCTGGAGTAGCAATCCTCATATCAGACAAAATAGACCTTAAAATAAAGATTATTACAGGAGATAATGAAGGACACTACATAATGATCAGGGATCAATCCAAGAGGAAGACATAACAATTATAAATATTTGTGCACCCAACATAGGAGCACCTCAATACATGAGACAAACACTAGCAGACATAAAAGGAGAAATTGACAGTAACACAATAATATTAGGAAAATCTAACACCCCACTCACACCAATGGACAGATCATCAAAACAGAAAATTAATAAGGAAACACAAGTTTTAAATGATACATTAGATGAGATGGATCTCATTGATATCTTCAGGACATTCCATCCAAATGCAGAAGAATACACCTTCGTCTCAAGTGCATATGGAACATTCTCCATATGCACAAGAATAGACCACATCTTGGGTCAAAAATCAAACCTCAGTAGATTTAAGAAAATTGAAATTGTATCAAGCATCTTCTCCAACCACAATGCTATGAGACTAGATATCAATTACAAGATAAAAACTGTAAGAAACACAAACACATGGAGATTAAACAACATGTTTCTAAATAACCAACAGGTTACTGGAAAAATCAAAAGGGAAATAAAAATTTTCTAGAAACAAATGACAATGAAAACATAACAACTCAAAACCTATGGGATGCAGCAAAAGCAGTTCTAAGAGGGAAGTTTGTAGCAACACATTCCCACCTCAAGAAACAAGAAAAACATCCAATAGACAATCTAACTTTACACCTAAATCAATTGGAAAAAGAAGAACAAAAAAAAAGCACAAAACTTAACAGAAAGAAAGAAATAATAAATATCCAAGCAGAAATAAATGGACAAAATAATAGTAAAGATTAATAAAACTAAAAGCTGGCTCTTTGAGAAGATAAACAAAATTGAAAAACCATTAGCCAAACTCATCAAGAAAAAAAGAGAGAAGAATCAAATCAACAAAAGTAGAAATGAAAAAGGAAAGGTTACAACAGACAATGCAGAAATACAAAGGATTGTAAGAGACTATTATAAACAACTACATGGTAATAAAATG